CACGTATGCAGGAATGAAAATGATCTTGACAAAGGGCCGGTATCGAGCAGTAAGAGACGTCGCAAATGTAATCAAGCATGTGTCCGTTGCTGTAGTGTTCGGCGCCAGTACATGGCTCTTCTCACCGAGCTCTGTGTATTTCTTTCACGTTGAGCGATGCTGCTCACGTACATGTATCGAAAGCTGTTGATGCAAACTTCGACCTGTCTGCAGCTTATGATGAGTGGTACGCTTTCGCCGCTGCTATTTTCCTCGCACTGTCGTCACTCACGTCGTTCACGACCCGTATGTCTCCTGGAATTGCTTTCGGTGGATCGAAACCAAATAGGGCGGCCAGCTTCCCTCCTTGTTGTTGCGGTTCTTGTCGGCCGTGCGTACTTCTTCTTCGCCAGCTTCTCCATCGAAGATCGCCATGCAAAAGAGACAAGCGACGCTTTCCACCATGGAAAGTCTTCACATCAAGTAGCATCATCACGTGCGTTAGGAGTGACCGATCAAGGAGTGACGGAAGTGAGCTGCTGCTGGTGATGGGTGATGAGCGGCGAGCAAAAACGAGATTGAAGGGCTGATGTTGGGGCCTTCCCAGCCGATGGCGTTCACTCGAGGACCAGAGGAACTTGTATGATCGCTAGGAGGTACTGTGTGCACGAGGGCAAGCGCTTTATGGACTCTTCGAGGCGTGCGAAGCACAGCACGACTCCATGGGGCTACGCAGGACTCAAACGATGCCTCAATCGCGTACCTCCTGACGAGAAAATAGAACGATGACGAAACCAAGTGCTGAACATCGGAGACAGGTCGTCGCTGTGTGCACGTCAAGTCCCACTCGTGGATCCTCCTCCTGCACTGGGCATCTTGTGGGCGGAAAAGCGGAATCGTTGAAAGCCGCTGACCAACCAGGTGGACGTGGGAGGTACTTCCGCCACCGTATCTGTCTCGCCTTTCGACGCTGCTAATGGCAGCCCAACAGTTCACTTTCCCGTCCAGCGGTCTCCTTTACTCAAGTACAGTTCTGCGCGTCCTTCCCGAACCTGCCGCTCAACCAATTTGCTTGAACACTAATCAACTGGCAACAACGAAGTACACGTAGCAACAGCTGAGGGCGGTGACGTTGTTGATGCTGCAGCCCTATTCCGCCACCTGACTCACTGTGCTTGCAACCACTTGCACCTGTCAGCTCAGCTCCGGCGGCGAAGGTGCAAAGCAGACACGAGTGGCGGACGGATGCCACGCGCGTTTGCGAGCTGTTCGCCAGAGAGCTGATTCCACCGAGCTGGTCGGTATCTCGTGCGACAAGTCCCTGCGCTTCACGCACGGTCGAGGCGGCTCGAGCGTGCCAAGCAAGCTGACTGCCATCCCAACCGAAGAGACTGCTGCATCAACGAAAAGCCGGGCAAGTGCTCAGCGTGCTTGGTAGCTGCTGGACACAGACAAGGCAGGTGCAACAAAGCCTGGTCGGCGAGCCGATGGCACGACCCAGTAGGCCCCAAAGAAATTCCAGGCGGTCCTCTACCGGCGATGCGCCGCCTCGTGATGGGACGCAAAGCCTGTCCACACAAAATCGTAGTGGCCGTACTCTGTGCCGCTCACGCCACGCTGGACGAGTGTGCCTCGTCTTCGTGAGAGAGCGGTCGTTGACGCATTCGGCAAAGAAAGCCCGTGGACCCAAACGACGGCATGACGTCGATGGGCGCTGTAATGCCACGGCCTCATACGCCTTAGAGTTCCGCCACGCCGCCATCGCTCGTCAGGCTACCGGTCGGGACACTGGACGTTCCCACTGTATCCAGTTATCCTCCAGGTGGCAGGAGCGCAAGCGTCTGTTTTGGCCGATCAACACGCACCCTATGCCTGTCCTGTTTTTACGGCAACAGGTTCCGTAGCTTGGAATCTCGCGCTGGGCTCTCTCTCCTGCAGTTGTGCTACATGGCGGTCGTTAGCCGGTCCCTTTTCGCCAAATGTCAGCACATAGCCGCGTAAGTAACTACTCCCTCGGATACCGACGCAATGACTGTCGCCTAGTGCTTACACGTGTAAACCACACGGGTCAAGCAGGCACAGGGCCTTCGAGACCATGTCGCTAGCAGATACGCTGAACTCGGTGGTAGTTGTCTCCAATGTGCCTTCCGACAAGTGCGAGTTGGATTTTTCGTAATGGGCGGCGCCTCGAGAGAACTCGTAGTGCGATTTGAAGACCCTCTCGTGGCGTAGGCTATCCGTGTGTCGCGCTAGTCTTTACCTCGGCATCGCAATTGCCGAAATTGACTCACGGAGCTTGAAGTGCGTGCCTGCCAGAGGGCTGCGGATCCAACTCTGTGGTCAAGACATGGCCGTTCCTTTTCGCGCGAGAATTGACACGTCCGACCGTCTGGCTGCTACCGAGTGGTGGTGGCCGCGACCCCACTTGTCGGCTGCAACGACGGCACAAAGCGCCACGTGCGGCTGCCGCTCTCGTTCGTCCAGCGTAGCACGAGGAGCAGCAGCCGACTTTCGGTATCATCGAGTCCTGGCAAAAAGAGACTTGTGCGGTTGAACTCGCGCCGCGTGGACAGTCTACTTGGACAGGGATAGCCACTTTTGCACCAGCCGGTCGTCGCTGTTGAACGGGGCAGCGCCGAGCCACTGCGTTGGCAACAACTGCACACCAACAACGAGCCGCCGCCTGCGCGTCGTTCCTGTATCGAATTCGTCGAATGAAGTGCGCGTCCAATCGGCAGCCCGAGCAAATCGCCTGCACGACTGAGCGGCTTCTCCTTAACCCGCACGGCACCGGACGCTCCATTGCCACGCACGAACGCCAGAAGGGGAGAGACACGACAACGAGAACAAGCGAAGGGCTCGTCCAGCCTTTCTGGGCCATTTCTGTCTGTCGTTCAGTCTCGCCCGACTGCGCCGAGTTGAGCCGACCAACCAGCCACGGCGAAACCTCGTTCCGTCGTGCTTTCGTGTCTTGCTGAGGGACCTCTCGGGCCTCAGTCTCGAATTCGTGCATTGCTGGCCAGTAGCTTCGCCAGCTCAACAGACCCTTTCGTGGTCTCTGCTGCTGCTTTGGTAAAAGCGCTGCAGCTCGGCCTCGATGATCTGTGAAGCGCGAGCCCCCGAGTATCAGCCCGTCTTGATCAACTCGAGAATGCGGCCAAGTGCTGGGCAACCGCAGCCTCCGTACGACTACGCTGACTGCAACAGCGTCCCGTACAGTCAACAGCAGCAGCAGCAGCAACAGTCACAGCAGCAGCACTTCCGAAGCGACGCCGGACCTTCGATCGTCAACACGCTCGAAGCTCCAGCGTACTATCAGCCGTTGCCCAATGCACCTAAACACGCACCGCAGCAGCAGTCGTACTACGAGCCCAGCTCCCCGGCCGTCACTATCTCCCAGTTCTCGTACGCACTGGACCAGCACAAACCCATTGCAGCGTGCCAGCACCAGCACCAACCCACAAGAGCCGTCGGAGTACTGCAGTCCAGTCGTCACACTCAAAACTTGCTCGAAACCTCTCGAGGCCATGGACCAAATGTGCGACGTCTGTCGGTACCCTGATCCGATCCTTATAGCGCCCACGTGCCGACACACGTTCCACTCGCGCTGTGTCCACGTGTGGCCCATCGACGCCTGTCCAGTCTGTGCTGCGCCTCTAGATCAAGTGGCGATCCTGCCGACCATCGACATGATGACACGGCCCGAGCCGCGCAGTGGAAAGTGGACTCGTCATGAAGAGAACTTCATCGACGTCGTCTTGCGCGAGTTCGACCGACAGGCACTTCCACTGGCACATGGGACGCCCATTCGCTTAGTGCTGGCGAAGATGCTCAACTGCTCGACGATGCGCTTGTCCAAGAAGTTCCAGAAAAACGCCCTGGGAAAGCGTACGTTCAGGGTGGTCAAGCCCGTCAAAGGGAAGAAGGCGCTCGAGTTTGACCCGATGGACCACGCCCAACGACAACGGGAGCTGTCTCAATTGGAGCTCGTCTTTCGACAAGAGCTCATTGACCAGTTCCAACGCGAGAACAACACGAACGAGGGCGCACTTGTCGAAACGCAGTGTCTGCGCGTAGCTGTTCAGCAGTTCTGGGTGAGCAACTTGCTCAAGTTTGCCGTGCTCGTGGGACAGCCCGTGGCGGGCCTGGACGTGTCCGACGCCAAGAAGCGCAAGCGAGCCATGCAGCTCCTTCGCAACGGACAGTACGACGAGCTGCTGTCGTGGCACCATCAGCCGTCGTCTCGTGGGTGTATAGGGATGACGTCAATGCCGCCACCGACGCCGAACGACGTGCACACGGGGCCAACGTCGTGGACCACGACCAGCGCAGCAGAGTACTCGTCGTCCGTGCTAGGGCCAATGCCACAGGAAAGTGGCGTGTACATACCGGCGCTTGTGCATCAGACAGAGCGACCCGTGAAGAAGAAACGCACACCAGAGGCGGACGTCGAGGGCGGTCGCTTCGTCTTGCCCATGGACCAACCCACAGCGTGTGGTCTGCAGTACGGACGCATCTCTCCTCGTAGCACGACGTCCGTCTCCTCGTACGATTACGATCACCAGCAGCAGCAGCAGCACCAGCACCAGCACCCAGCAGCAACGACAACAGCAGCCGCAGCAGCAGTCGTATCATCCCGAGCCATTCGGCCGTCCGTCTTGTGGCTACTCGCCGTTCTCCGACGACAGGACACCCAAACAGACGTCACTGGAGTACACCAACGGATGGCAGCGCCAGCGGCGACAGGACCAGCAGATGCTCACGGGACTCGCCAGTCACGACGAAGCCACTGCACGGGACCTGCGGACGGCCTTTGTCGCAACGGGATACACCCGACCAAGCGGCGACGCTGCTTACCACGTCAGCGGGACTGCCCAAGTAGCGCCCTGGGACGCGGATGGGCTACTGGACAACATGTCGTCCGACGTCCACAGCGGAGTCGCTGCCGTCCGAGCCAAGAGCCACGTGGCCCAATGCGGCGGCGACCCGTCGTCCATGCACCCCCCGTGGTCCACTATGCACCTGATGTGAAGACCTCAATGTCGTGACGTTCGCGCGCTGGAAACCTGCCGTCGCCTAGATGTGTCAATGCCGTGTCGTAGCAAAAATACAGCTTAATAAATAAAGTGACCCTGTCCTGTGACAGACGTGCATCCCACTCCCATGTGTGTGTGTACTCGTCATCGACTTGCAAAAATATAGCTTAATAAATAAAGTGAACCTGTCCTGTGACAGACGTGCTCTTTTTTGTCGCATCCCACCCCCTGTGCGTGTGTGTGTGTGTGCTCGTCATCGACTTGCGTGTCGCACCAACTGCTGGATGTGGACGGAGTGGGTGTGGTACACACGAACAAACTCCCTGTCAGACTTTATCTCGCGCAATGCTCCGACGCCACCGAGTCGCGCGGCTGCGTGCGCGCGGGACGCGGCCCATGTCGCTCCTGGGCTCTATCTTTGGCATTGGCGAGTTTGAGGGCGCGCGCAACACGTCCCTGAGCCGTACCACGAGCAAGCAGCAGGCCTACGACGTCGCGCTACTCGACGTGAGTCGCTCGCTCGCTCTTGGAACGTGGATGTGAAGCCATTTCTAACGTTTCTAATTGCTACGCACTTGTCGGAACGTAGTACGTGAGCATGAACTCGCACCCCAAGTTCATGCTGCAAGAAGTGCTGGCCAAGAACGAGCCATTTATCATGGGCCATGTCCTGGTAGGTACGAGTCAGTGGCTCGCGCCGCTCGTGCATCAAGACGCTCTGGATGCTGTAGCGAGTCTGCAAGTCGCGACTCGGATTGCTAAGCACGGTGGGGGGTTGGCTGGAACGAGGTTAGAAGTGCTGCAACGAGCTGACAATGTCGTATGTCAATGCAGGAGGGACGACGATGGCCGAGACGTTGCACGTGAAGGCACTGGACGCGATGGTGCATGGTCGTTATTACCAAGCAGCTGCACTGTATGAGACCATCTTGTTGCTCGACCACACAGATCTTCTGGCATTGCGCTGCTGTTATGACGTCTATCGATTTCTCGGGTGGGTTTGGAAAAGTGGGCGGTAGCGGTCGTAGTGCTGTGGGCTAACAAGTAGAAGCTGCTGGTCGTGTGTGTCGTAGGGACTACAAGAATCTGCTAGCGACGGTGACACGTCGTTTGACGTCCTGGTCTCCGAGTGATGTTGGATACAGCCATCTGCTGGGTATGCAAGCGTACGGCATGCAAGCTGCTGGACGGCTGGATGCAGCAGAAGCTATGGCTGAGAAAGCGTTGTCCATGAATGGCAATGATCGCTGGGCATGTAAGTGTGCGGAGGTTGCTAAACCGTTGCGTGTCTTGCTCGTGCTGTGTGTGGTGATGTGACTTCTTGTGTTTGGTAGTGCACACTATGCTGCATGTATTAGAAGCACGAGGCAATGCCAATCACGGCGCGAGTTATGCAAATCAATTTAAGGCACGGTTCGACAACGGGGGACCACTAGAGCGCCATTTGTACTTTCAGTGGGCATTGTACATGCTGGACCTAGGCCATTACGACCGTGTCGACAAGATGCTGGAAGTCAGCATTTTCCCTCGCCAGCCTGAAGGCGTCCCACATGCAGTACCGACTCTTTGCGATGCGACCCAGCTCTTCTGGAGACTACGCTTCGCAGGCGAGGACAGGGTCGAGCTGGGAGAAGAGCTCTTCCAGAGCTGGTCTGCTGTGCTTCCGCCGACAAGCTCCGATGTGGAAGAAGTGTCGAAGGCTCATCTTTCGCCGCTCGCGAACGTGCTCCGCTACGTACGTATTCTTGTTATCTCATTGACCAGCACCAATAGCGATTCTCACCGTCACTTTGTACAGAGTATCATGTCATGCGTGTCATCGAGCGATACACCGCTACCCGAACCGCTGGTGCCGAAACTTGACGTCGATGTTGGTTGCCTGGAGTCTCAGTTAGGCCTAACGTTGTATCAGTTTAGCTTTCCTCCTGTCCCAGGTAAGCTTTTGGACATATCGTCTATGTTCTTGTGCGAGCACTGACAATCCTTGTGTCACTTTATGACATTGCCAGATGAGCTGAAGCAAGTGTATACTCATGTTTGCGAAGGATTCCGAGCGTATGCAGAGGTTTGTGTGTCGACACTCGACCCAGCTCGCATGTGATCCGGGTTTATAGACGGAGACCGCGTAGCTAACAGTTATGCTATTTGCCATGGTCGTTTGCAGGGTCGATTTAGCGATGCAACTCAAGCGCTGTTGCCTGTGCGTGGAAAGCTCGGACTGCTCGGTGGCAGCGAAGCAGATCAAGATGTGGTAGAACAGCTCCTTGTCGAGTGGTAAGCGGCCTTTGAGAACCGCAACCAGTTTGTTTCGTACTGACCGTGTGACGTCGTTTCGTAGCGCCAGCAAGTGCGATGACCTTCGACTCGTGAAGCTCCTGCTAAACGAACGGTGCGTTTTTGTTAGAAATTTCGTGGGATCGTGCAGTGATGACCAGTGCCTTTCGTTTGACTCACGTGCTACGCTTTCTTCGCAATCAGGTTGGGTGCGAGACCACAAAACGCCCAGTGTTGGCACACCTTTTCGCGCGTATCTGCAGCCATGGGCGACTCTTCTGCCGTGCGTGATGCTCAGGGCATGAGCTACGTGCTGGGACTAGGTCGAGGCGGCAACCAGACGTACTAGAATCGATGCTCTCTCGAGTCAATGCTATGGTGTTCTAGATTGACGACAGGTATACGGGTAGTTGACATTCCCAGCGATCGAATAGACTGCGTGAAAAGCACACACACACACACACGACACTGTGTGGCGAGCAAAGTGTAGCCATATCTCGTGTCCATGAATAGATACATTTGGCGCCACCCGAAAATAACGCGGGAATGAAATGGCTTCAAAACGGATTTTCCGCGCATGTAAGCTGCAGGGCCTCTCGTTCCACGCTGACGCCCTGCGACACCTCACGCAGGAGCTCACCAAGTACGTCTGCGTCTTGCGTCTGTTTCGTTGCTTGTTTCCATGCTCCAACTCGCTGTCGTTGCATCAAAATAGCGCCTCAACGACGACGGCCACTTGTTGTCATGTCATCTCTCGTTGACCGTCTAATATCTGCTGTGTTACGTGCAGTGAGCCATCACTGCAGCTCGACGATGTCCTCTACGCGATCAAGAACAACATTGACCGCAGCAAAAGTGCGTCTGCCACCACTCTGTCGCTTGTCGCCTTCCTACGAACTGTTGTACTCACAGCCTGTTGGCGCTGCTGCTGCTTTGCGCTGCTCAGTGACGACGTCGGTAGTGACACTCGAAGCTCTCGAGAGCGCGTTGGACACGCTCTTGGCAGTGTCGGCAGCAAACGACTACGAGCAGATTCAAGTGTTTGGCGCCTTTGACACGCCGAGACTGCACTTCAACACGCACACCAACTCGTACGAGCTGAAAGCAGACGCTCAGCGTCGACTCCACGCTGGACCCGAGTCGAGGATCCAGTTGCTGAGGCATCGGTTCATGTCAGCAGATCTTCGCGTCAAGCGGAACCGCTTGTTCGCGCCACCTTCGACGGCAGCAGCCACCGCTGCAGAGTACATGGAGGTCAGTGCTCAGGCTCCGTGTTGGACATTGCAATGCGATGGTGACGTTGACAGCGTGCATCTCATTGATTGTCGTCATGGCTCCAGCTGTCGCGGATCGAGTCGTTGCTGGGGGTGAGTGGGGTGCGACGCGTCATCGGCATGCTGGGGCAGGACGAGCGCGAGAGGTTCTACTTGGAGGACTTTACGTCGCGCATCGTCATTGACCTCACGAACGCAGTGTACACCGACGGCTTGTTCACCGTAAACTGCGTGGTGCTCGTAGAAGGTCGAGTGATTGATGACGTGCTTCATGTCCAGGTACACGATGTGCGTTGGCATCTGTCGGTGCGAGCTCAATATCTCATGCTGTGCTTGTTTCGTTACCCTGTAGTCCATGGGGTTCCCACCTCCCGAGACAAAGGAAGCGTCGATGGATGTACTGGGTGGCATCGATCCGCTTGGTGTCGAAGTGTCTGTGCAACAACGACAACAGATCAAAACGCTGGAAACCAATGACCACCACGCTACGTTCATTGTGCTGTCTGACGTCCATCTTGACGACGCAAAGGTCATGACGAAGTTGGATGAGCTCTTCCAAGGCCTCGAAAGTGTGCAGCCTACCCTTTTCATTCTCATGGGCGACTTCATGTCAGCACCCATTGGTGGAAGCGCAGAGTCCAACTCGCTACAGGACCTGCGTGAGTACCTGGACGAGCTCGGGAACCTCATTACCAAGTATCCTGGTATCGCCAACCACTCCCGTTTCGTGTTGGTGCCTGGACCGAACGATCCCGGATCTTCTCGAGCGTTCCCGCGCCACCCGGTACGACCCGTCTGCTTGCACGTCGTGCACGTCTTTTGCACTAACATGTTGTCTCGTGCTCAGCTTCCTGATCTTTGCACGCGCGAGCTCGTGCGCAAGGTGCCCAACCTCACGTGTAGCACGAACCCGTGTCGGATCCGCTACTACACGCAAGACATTGTCATCTTCCGCGACAACCTGCAGCAAAAGATGCAGCGGCACGCGATTCTTCCGCCCATGCCGAGTGAACGTGAAGAAGATGCCGTCATTGGCAACGATAGCGAGACTGACGCTGCTGCATCGTCCGTCTCGCAGATGGACATTTCCAAACATGTACGTACTGTTGCCACTTTTCCTGTTCTTCTTGTAGCTGTCTAGCAACGACACACGGCCAACGACCGACCGACCGACAGTCGATCTAACGTTCGTGTGTGTATGTGTCTATGAACCTGCCACGTCTCTGCTATTATATGTCTCAGCTCGCCAAGACGCTGATCGATCAAGCGCACTTGTGTCCCCTGCCATTGATGGCAAACCCCATCACGTGGGACTTTGACGCATCGCTGCAGCTCTTTCCAGCGCCGGACGTGCTGATCATTGGCGACGCAACGGAGCAGTACCAACTCGGGTACTCGTCCGTTGGCGTGTTCCATCCAGGTCCGTTCCATGTCGACTACTCCTTTGTGTTCTACCGCCCAAGCACCACCACAACCGAATTCAGTCGCGTCGAATAAAGCGCTCTAAAAAACCAGTTTACTCGCATAAGCCCGGCGCAAGCGCTAACGAAGAGCGATAGCGCTAACCGTTTGCAGCCTCGTTTCAGTGACAGGATGGATCGATAAAAAAGCAGAGCAAAGAAAAAGGTCCACAGTCTTTTTGTGCAGGGACTATTATTGGTCCATGTAGTCCCAGCAGCATGGGGCGAGGCCAAAACAAAACGCTTTTCCCCTTCGCATCTCTCCTAAAAACGTCAGTGCCGCAATTGAGACTTTGGTCGTTCGGCATGCGGCGTCGTCACCATCGCCAGTTCGGACTGCCCAATGCGAACCAGATCCTCCTCTGTATGGTCGTCTGCACGCTCCTGTTCTTGTCTTTGCTTCGTCATAACTGGCTGCAATTCGGAGAAGATCCAGACGTCCATGCGTCGCTCCGGCGTGTGTACATTGTGCGCGGCAGCTCGACGGACTTCCAGTCATGGGACACTTTTTGTGCCGACGATTCGTTCACCATGACCATGTAAAGTAGCAGTAGGCAGTCGTTGAGGTTTTATTTTCGCACATGGAGTACAAATGTGTTGCGTCTAAAGTAGCGCGTAGATAAATAAGGGCGCGCTAACGATATGGCGTTCTATTCTTTACAGTCCCGGGACGACGAATCAGACCACGACGGTCGTGGACATGCAGGACGGCGCCGTGTTGTGCCATCGACGCACAAATGGACAACTCGTGCCGCACTTGATGGTGTGGATACTCGCCGTGGGACTCAGCTGTGCGCTCTCAAGTACGCTGCTGGCAGTCTATCTGCAGCTGGGCAACCCGACGCGGGAGATGATCTTTTGGGTCGGAATGCTGCCGGGGATTGCGCTGTTTGGCTCTGGTGCGTCGTCGTGACGTCTTTTGGGTTGTTGAAGGAGCTCACGGCCACACTCACGTTGTGTTTATTTATTGTGTGCGTTGTGTGTGTGTGTGCCTTTGCTGTTGTGAGTGCAGCGGTGCTCGGGACGGCATCGTTGATCCTGTGGCAGAGGTACTACTTCCGGTTCAACAATGGCGACTGCTTTAGCATCACTGTGGCTGCTACAGTCATTGCCTACGCAGCAGCGATCTCTATGGTCACGCGCTGGCGCTGGGTACGCACTGCAGGTGTGCTGTATAATGACATTTGGGATGCAGCTTGTAATCCGTGTTGGCTGTGGTCTGTTTTGCTGCCTCTGCGTGTTGGTGGCAGCCCGGCATCTGCGCTGTGCCCAACGAGCAACAAGCTCTCGGTTCACGCCAGAATGGAGACCGCTTGCCGCGTCGTCGCAGTCGAAGACTGGGATCTGCCGCAACTGCTGCGACAGTGGCCGGTGATATGGCTGCGCCACTGAACCGCTGACCTTTGTCTTGTTGCAACTGCAAGGACGGACCCTCTGGTCACTGATGCACATCTCGTTGCAGTGTAATGGTACACTAGTCGTCTGTTCCACGACTTGGCAGGTGAATGTGAGCTTATTTATTGTTCAAACGACGTGCCAAGCTCAAGACGTGCCAGTGCTCTCGACACAAGGTACTCCAGCTACATGTTTTCTTGCTTCCCTTCTCTCTGTCTCTCTCTCTGTCGTGCTTACGCCCTGTCGTGAGACCTTTCGTTTAGTCACTTTCGTCACCACTGTCAGCCCTGAGCTTGCTCAGCACGCGGCGCGCGTACTCGCCGATCACCTTCGCATCAGCACCGCCACTGCGCAGATACTCGGTCTGGGTCTCTGGTCGGGAATGCACTTCGAGCAGGTAGAGCAGTGTTCGCTCAGCAGGCAACTTGACGGCCAGGTTGTTGCTCTTGATCACCTGGAAGACAGCGGGAACAAGCACGGCCAGGTGCTCGCGCACTTGTTCCGGCGAGCGCTTTGCAACGAGCTTCGTCACGTGCAGCGAACTACGGACGATGTCTTTGCTTTTGTGCGTGACACTGTCCGCCAGCACGGGCACCAGCGCCGCGAGACTTTCCACTTTCTTCGAGTGCTTTGCCACGGCGCCAAGTGCCTGGAGCCCATGGTTGCGCACAGCAACCTGTTCATCTTGCGCCAGTGCAAGCAGCGTGGCGGTCAGAGAAGCAGAGACGTCCGATGTCAGCAGTGCTGCGTGTTTGTGCAAGACCGATGCTGTGAACACGGCTGCGCTCTGGCGGCGCTGCCACGAGAGCGCCTGCCTGTCATCGGCAGTCATATTTGTCAAACTGTGGTCCAGCAACTGCTTCCTCGCTGCCTCCACGTCGCTGCTAGCGGTGGTAGCCACACAGGAAGCTAGGCACCGGCTCGCACCGTCCCGAAGTGCGTCTTCACTCGACTCGAGCATCTCTTCGAGTGCGTTCTCGAGAGTGCTGCGACCCACAGCTGAGAGTTTACCGCCAACGCGCTCTACCACCGAAGCGACAGCCTCCAAGTTGGCTTCACGCACACCGCCAGTCGTGGTCCGCAAGCGCTCGGTCAGCTCTGTCAGCAGTGGCTCCACACGTGGACTGAGCGTGACAAGCAGCCTCAGGGCGGACGCCCCCCGAGCTCGTACATCTACAGCAGTGTCGTTCAAGGCCTTGATGAACGTAGTCTGCAGCTGGGGAAGGAAGGGCTTGAGCGCCACGCCGCCCTTGGTCAGAATGATCTCCAGAGTCTGCAAGATCGCAGCCTTCACGTGACCAGGGAAGCGATCACCAGCGATACGAATGAGCGGACCCGTGAGCTTGATCAAGTACGGACGCAGAGACGATGCGCTGCTCAGCTCGACGAGCTCACCCAAGCCAGCAGCTGCGCTCTGACGCAGCACCGGCGACCCATTCATCAGAGCCCACTGATAACCAGGCAAGAACGGCTCCAGGCCGTGAGGGATGCAGAGACCAGGGAGCAGGTACTCGCCGTCGCCGACGCCACCTTTGCGATGACGGGCGTCACTGACCATCGAGTTGATGGATTGCCGAATGAAGTCCAAGTGCTGCGCAAAAGCTTCGGGCCTCGTGGTCACGTTCATGCCCTTGAGTGCCGCAGAGGCTGCACGAACCACTGGATCGCTTTGCTCGTTCAAGTGCAGCACAATCTGCTTCAGGAACAGTGGCGCCTGGTCGTTGTATGGCACCGACGCATGCGAGCAGAATGCAGCCACGAGCTCGAAAGCGAGAACACGCTCGAGCACGTTTTCGCTCTCGCAATACTTGCAAAGCTCGATCGCCAGCCAGTGCACGCCAGGCGCCTCCACGTGAAGCACCACCTCGCGCAGTGAGCTCTTGATGTTCTCGGCAAGTGCTGCCTTTGCAGCATCCGAACTGCCGTCTTCCAGCAGCTCGACGTACTGTGCGAAAAACGCAGCAAAAATGCGTTCCACTTGAAAGTGAATGACGGCCCCCGTCGCCTGCGCCACGCGCGACACTGTAAATGCTGCCGAGGCAGTAACCGGCTTTACCAGCAGACGTGGGATCAGGTACGGGAGCACCTCACGCGACTTCACACGCAGTATCTCCTGAAGTCCGAGCAGCGCGCGTTCCTGTTCCTCTGCCGACGGCGACGAGTGGATGCGCTCGAGAATCTTCGGGACGGTCTCATCGATAGCGCGGTAGCCAATGCCCCTGTGCAGGACATCAAACGCATGCGCTGCCGATGCACGGACTTCTGCGACTTCGTCACAAATGCCGTCCAACACAGCGTCCAGGAGCGTGTCGACATAGTCCTCGATCTGCTTCTTCGTGCAACAGTCGATGACTTCTGCGAGACCAATGCAAGCTCCTTGTCGACGGCCGATAGGCAGCGAGGGCGATAACCCAGCACGCAAGATAGGCACCACCTCAGGAAGCACATGCTCGCCGAGCTTTCGCACAATGTCACCAAGCGTACGTCCAGCCATCGTCAGCTTTTCCATGTTGTCACCCGAGAGCGCCGACACGATCGTGTTCAAGAGTGCCTCGAGAATCTGGCGAAGCGTTTTGGGCGTGTTGGAGACCACGCTTTTCCAGACCTGCAGAGCGCTTTGGCGGACGACAGCCGACGTATCCGAGCGAATCATGTACAGCGCTGCCAAGATCGCGTTGCGGCGCTGGATCCCAAGCAGTTTAATGATAGCTCGATCACCTGCAGCACTGCCCGACGTCTCGTCGTCGTCGTGGCTATCGTCGTTGACAACCGCAACTGCACGCGTGCCACTGATGCGATACATGAGGTCACCCAGCAGTGTGACCGAGCTCTGTCGAATGCGCCAGCTATCATCGAAGAGACCAGCCTCGAGACTCGGGAGCAGATCACGCGTATGCGAGAGGGCGTGCGCGTTGACCACTACGTGACCCGAGTGCATAGCAACATTGCGTACAGACTCGGCTTCGTCACTGAGACCTTTTACCACGATGGGCAGCGCATCGCGAAGGAAGATGGCGAACTGCTTGCCTAGCGCCGGTGGCAGGAAAGCGATGACCCACAACACGCCCTCACGCACTGAGAACATTGGATGGCGTGCCAGCGGCAAGATGTCCTCCCGCATGACACGCTCGACGCGCTCCATGCCAAGCGCAACCACCACTTCACACAGACCTTGCGCAGCACCTGAACGCTCCACAGGACCAACTTCATTGTCCTTCATAGCCCCGAGAAGCCACGTCAGCACGTCCGCAAAGTGGCGCTCACCAAGCCCCTTGACCAGCTTGCCCAAGGCCTTGCCGGCCACAGCACGCACTTCCGGAATGGGATCCATGAGCTGAGTCTTCAAGCTCGGTAGCACGGTCTCCATGTAAGGCACAAGGTCCTTGGCATCGTTGATCATGGAACACATGCTGCCCACAATGAGCGCGGCCTTCTTCTTGGCATCACCAGCGCGATCCCTGAGACCACGAGAGATGATGGGCATCACAAGTGCCAACGACGGCGCATCAATCGAGTGCTGGAAAGACGTCGACTGAAGCTGCTGAAGAGCTTCGGCCGTGTACCGGTTTGGATCTTCGAGCGCATCGAGCAGCACCTTAGAGATAGCCGCAATTTCAGGGTTGCGCACTACAGAACCCACGTCACGTAGCGCGCTCTTACCAGCTTCACGGACCTTCGGGTGCGAGTCAGTCAGCGCTGCCATCAACTTGGGCACCACCTGAGGCAAACACGAGCCCAGCTGTCTAGGGGCACAGTACGCCATGGAGCCCAAGATCTGGATGCCCGACTGCTTCGTACGCCACGCGCTTTCTTCCAGCGCACCCAAAAGCGATGGCAACACCAGCTTCACACCATGTGCCGACAAATGGGCCATGATACCCTTAGCAGTCTGACTTGCCGCTTTGCGCACTTGCGGACTGGCATCGGCCGAGCACTTGAGCATGATGGGTAGAATCACGATGATGTAGGGCTCGAACAGCAGCCCGAGGCGTTGGCTCAGACACTCGAACACAAACATGACGCCTTCGCGAGCGTCAGCACCGCCCGTCTTCATCGCGTCTTCGAGGCGCGGGATGATGCTGTGGAGTTTGAGTGCAGAAATACCGAGTCCTTTGATCACGGCTGAAATACCGTACGCTGCACCCATGCGCCCGCCAAAAGTTTCGCCCTCAGTGACACGCTTCATGAGACCATCCAAGATACTCGTGCTGCGATCCTTCACTGCGCCTATGATCGTCGACAGACACGTAGCAACCGAGCGCTGTACCGACTCAGACGGAATGTCAAGAGCTTCTAGGAGCAGGTCCACGATTGAAGACACTTTGGGGTCCGTCGGGGACATGTGCTTGGCCAGAGAGCCCAAACACACCACGACACCTTCACGCTGATGATCATAAATGGACAACGCTTGTTCCCGCTGCTCCAGCATGTCCTCTTCCCGAGCAGCAAGTTCAGTCCCAGCCTTGGCTTTCTTCCCAATCGTGCTTGCAACCGTAGCTGCTGCAGGAGGAGTACTCGTGTCAAGAAAGCGCTCAAACATTTCCAGCAGCGGCGCCGTGTTGGTACCTCCACCCAGCGAAGCCACAGCTTGCACACCGGTCTTGCGCATCTGCGCACGCACCTTAGCGTTCGGATCTCCCAGACCATGCTCCATAACAAACGTCAACAGGGTCATGGTATCGGCGCTGGAGATCGCTTCAGGGCCTGCCATCTCTGCAGCTTTCTCCAAGCACAGAGCGACGCCGAGACGAGGGTACATTGTACGTCCATCTTCAGTCTGCTCAGCTGCTGGCGCATGGGGGCGGCGAGCCGTAGGAATACCAAACTCGTCTGTTTGCTTCGTTGGCTTCGGTTGGTTACTCAAGAACCGCGTCTTCAGATCATCCAGCAGGGGCGTCACAGACGATGGGAACTGACGCATACCATCAGCAAGAGCGAGAGAAGCACTTTCACGCACGCTAGCATGAGAGTGATGCAGCAATTCCAGCAAGGGACCTGCAAACAGTGCTGTGATCGTAACTCCAGTGGCGCTCCATATCTGCTTGGCGAGAGTACGGTTTTTGTCCTCCCCGTCAAAGCAACAGCAGTGTAGCCGACTCACAAAGAGCGCACTGGGCTCAGCATTGCGGAACTCTGCACCACTTTCCTCGCTTTGAACAACGTTGAGCAACGCAGTCAGGACCTCACCACGTGTACTTGCTTCTTCTGCAAGCAAGCCTTTGCCGCCAAGCAGAGGGGCCCACTCCGACAGGGTCAGTTCAGGTCCCATGCACAGCGAAGTCAGTAGTTTGCCCGGAGCCAAGTCTGGATTCGTGATAGGCAATGCACTACCCGTTGCCTGCTGAGACAGCAGCAGCAACACCAACTCCACCATATCGCGACGCAGCAACCGCTGTGCTAGAACGTCACCCACTTCTTCTTCCTCTTCAGCAGGGATGTTACGCGCATGAACAGCAAGAAGGGGCAATGCCCACCGACGCAGGTCTGGTGCGAAGCGAAGCGACACAGAAAGCACTGGAAAGATCAAGTGCAGCGTCGGCGGAGGAACCAAATTGCACGGAGCATCGGCGTCAAAGTCGGCTTCGCTTTCAAACTGGAAACCAAACACAAACTCCATCAGCTCTGCCAGCAGACGCAGATACAGCGATTGCATCTCTGCGAGATAGGCCGCCCTGGCTTTTTCGGACGTGAATCGGTCGAGCTGCAGAGCGATGCGCAGGGCACTTGCAACGTCTTGGTAGTTCGAACGAAGCAGCTTCGGACTTATGGCCTTTGCGATGGCCAGTAGTGAGTTGGACGCTTCAGATTCGAAAAGCGGGCACGTGAATAGCACGCGAACTGAGCGAAGTAAGGACGGTAGCGTCGAGTGGAGTTCATCTGGTCGAGTGACTGCCAGCATGTCAATAGCCTCCAGCACAGCGGACACCACGCGACGCGTCGCTTGCACTTTGTCGCGAACTTTCTGTTGCTTCTCTAATAAAGCCTTTTGCTCAGCCGAGTACATCGTCTTCGCATCACTTTGCTCAGCCCGTTTCTTGCGCAATTCCTTGCGCACTTGTTCTTCCCATTGCTCGTCTTCAGTGCCCCGAAGGCTGCGACTGGTCGTCTCCTCTTCCTCGCGTTCTTGTTTACACTCGTACACCTCATCGTACGGAGTCTGGCAGATCGCAACATCTTCTTCGCCGAGAGCCTCAATGTTTTCATCGTTCAGACGCTCGGCCAGCTGCTCCTCGATTATATTGTGCAGCGCTAGATCCTCACCCTCACCATTGCCAGCAAAGTCAAGCAAAGAAGCGACTGCCCGCTGAGCAGCCAAGCGCTGTAATGGGCTTGTCGAGTACAACTTGCCGGTAGACGCATTGGCAAGCAGTTCAACGATTGCTGTCTTCACTTCTGCATGCTGTTCAATGAAATTGTCCACTAGATCAGCTTCGCTAGGAGACTCCTCCACGTTGTTATCGCCGTCCTTCGCAGTTGCAGTGCTGGATGGCAGAAAACGGCGACGGAGAGACTGCCACTCGCGCGCAAATACCTCCACCTTCCTGCCCGCAACGAGCAATGGATGGTGCGCGAGAAATATGATGCGAGCAAATGTGTGCACCTTGGTACCTTCGGCATCGCCAATAGCAGTCGGAACGACGATGCGTAGAGCACGACGGAGCACGCCGGCAGACGGAACTATCTGCTCTTCTTCAGATTGACAGCGCGTCGATCTTCCTCTCGAATGCAGCTACAAGACCTGCACAATGCTGCGCTGACGCCAGATACAAATCATCGATGGCACGCTCAGCACTCTGGCGCACAGTTAGGCTCGACGAACAAAGCAGCTCCACAAACAGCAAATAAGCCTCGCTAGCATCCGACTGTTGTGACGCCAAGACCCACAGTAAAGCGTGAGGAAGTGCAGCCAGTGCCGAAATATCGGGGGTCTCATAGACATCCTGCTGCCGAGATGACCCCGCCACATTGCCCAACAGCTCTCGAACGCTTTTTCCAACAAAAGACGTCGAGCTCAAAAGGAGCTCAGCGACATGTTCCTGTCCCATGCGCGCGTCCATCTCGCTGCTAGCAGACGCCATTGCACCTGCGATAGCAACGGCCAATACGCCATCAAGGTGCACTGCATGGGGTCTCTTGTTCGAGTCCTTTATCACTTCAACAACTGCATCAACAAACGGCACAGCTGCAGTCGCCCTCGAGCGACATACCACCGCTAGGGCGCGAAGATAGCCAGCGACGACAGGCTCGGGCTTGTTTGTTAGACCGCTCTTTATGCCAGTCACTGTGAAAGCACTGAGCTCGTCAGTGCCAGCCAGCACAAGCCACTTACCCAGCGCTAGTAGTCCAAGATAACGTGTCGCATCGTGTGCCTCCTTGCTCACAGTCCTAAGCAGCGACGCGATCACCGTCGGAGCAATGTCCTGCACTTCCGACGCATCCAGTCGCACTGTCGCCGCCTCGGCAGCCTCAGTCAGTACAGCATATGCGGCCTCGCGCTGATAAAATTGAGCGAGGATGCCGTGCTTGCCGTCCAACAAGGCGCTCATGATATTCACAAACTGCTGCATGTGTTCGCTCTGAGAGAACGAGTGTGCCAGCGCGCCACCAAGCTTTACTGCAAGTGCACGCACATCGTCCTTCGGCGCGCGCAGCTTGGCAACCAGCACCGGCTTCAATAAGTCTTCCAAGTATCGTCCAAAGTCCAGAGGCGTGCTTTGCACGAGCGCACCAACGGCTTCAATCACCGTCTCTGGTGCTTTCTTGAGCATCTTTGCCATCACTGGCAAAATGAACTGCTCCAACTGCTCGTACGTCAGCGTCTTGAACCTCGCATCACCCTTGTACAAAGGCGCAAGCAGCCGTTTCTTGCTCTCAAACGCCCAGAACGCGTACTTTCGATACAACATCTCGTGCGTCTCCTTGTCCAGCTCCTTGTCACAACAGCTCAGCACCATCCACATCTGATAGTGCTGTTCCTCAGGTGCTGCTGCATCAGCCACAACATTCACGTACTTCTGCATCAGCAGCTTGTCTTGTTTCTTGATCACTTGAAGCAATGCTTTACGCGCTTGCAGCTGGCTCGGCAGCGAGTCATTGACTGTAGCCTCCAGTAACCGGCTCTGTGACGCCATCAAGTCCACGAGCCACGGAGCGTCGGACGACAGCAGCGCCAACGGCGTCGACGACGCATCTGCTTGGAGCGCAGCGTCCAGCACGACACACGACAGCCGCAGCGCCAGAACACGTGCGCGAGCGAACGACGCGACGAGCGAGGGACAAGCGGCGTGCAGTACGCGCGCAAAGACTTGCGGGAACTTGGCCACGTCCTTGCACGTGGTACTCAGCAGCGTCCGTAGATGTCGCTCCGAGCGGCGGTACTGGACGCGCGAGCACTGAGCCAACACGTGGCCAGCGAGTCGCTTGGGGGGGAGCGCGCCGCTCTTGCACTTGTCGAGGACCTCTTGCTGGTACGACTGGATGAAGACGTCGTGCGTGGGCTGCCGCACGATCGCGTCCAGTAGCGCCAGGAGGACGTCCTCTTGGTCGGCCATGACACAGCAGCAGCAGCAGCAACGGCAGCGGCTCACGAGGCGGAGAGGGCGCGGCGATAGGACCACCAGTGCTTTTGTGCCTCGCCGAGTGAGCTGTTGGTGGCGACAAGTGTGCTCGCGTCACCGAACACGGACGCCAGGAGGTCGATGGATGTCAAGACGGCGTTTCGATCGGGATCGAGGGACGTGAGTGAGAAAAGCAGATGGGGGCCGGAGTCTGTGTGAGGTTTTTCGATCGATGGGGTTTCTAAACGGCCGCGCACTACGAGTTAGAAACGAGTGCAGTGGAGCATGGCGGACAACGACGCGGCCGGCTTTGCGGCGTTTATGGCGACGGTGGACAGTGACGCGTCGCAGTCGGTAGCGGCTGAGCAGCAGGACGAGTACCAGTACGAGGAGCAGCAGGAGCGGAAAGCCATGATGAAGAGCTACCACCACCCGATGAAGCAGTGGTTTAGGCAGAGACCGCAGCTGGAGGTACGCAGAGCTGGTCGTGCGTTTAGTGGTAGTAGTCATTGGGCGTAAAACCACTTACTGTCGTATGTATCACTGCATCGATGCAGGCCAAGTACGGAGTGTTTCCGTTGTTCTGGCAAGAGCTCGAGACGTGGGAGCCGTATCGCGAAGTGCTGAAGGCGTACATTAAGTTTACCGATCATGGAGACGACAGGGAGAGTGCAGAGAAGCGAGAGAACAAGGAGGAGACGTCAAAGGCAGAAGGTGCCGCTGGAGACGGCATTGCGGAGACGGAAGAACAGCCAAAGAAACGACGCAAAAGTCGGTGGGGAGACCCGGTCGAGCCTGCAGCAGACAGCAATGGCGAGAAGAAGAGGAAAAAGTCCCGCTGGGCTCCTGCATCTAGCGCCTCTTCGGCAGTAGCCGGTCTGCTCAATCAGAAGCAGCAGCAAACTGTCGTGCTCCGTGCTCAGCTCGAGAGCATCAGCCAGAAAATAAAGACAGTGGCTCAGGACGCTGCGCTGGCAAAGAAAGACCCGAACCGCTCTCCGTCGCCGGCACCGCAGTACGACTCGACTGGAAAGTGCATCAACACGCGTGAAGTGCGCATGAAAGCTGCACTGGAAAAGCGCCGGCGTGAAACGATTGATCAGCTGCTGAAGATCAACCCGTTGTTTCGACCGCCAGCAGACTACACGCGTCAGAAACTGAACCGCAAGATTTACATTCCGTACCGAGACTTTCCGTCGTACAATTTCATCGGTCTGATCATCGGACCTCGTGGCAATACGCAAAAACGCATGGAGCGAGAAACCAACTGCAAGATTGCTATTCGTGGCAAGGGCTCTGTAAAGGAAGGCAGCAAGGGCAAGAAGATGAACGCCGATGAGGATGATGACTTGCACGTGCTCATCACAGGTGACCGTGAAGAGGATCTTGACAAGGCAGCGAAGGAGGTGCAGAGCTTGTTAGTGCCAGTGGACGACACAAAAAACTCGCACAAGCAGAAGCAACTGCGTGAATTGGCCCTTATCAACGGTACACTCCGAGACGACGACTATTGCCATATTTGTGGCGAAAAAGGTCATCGACAATGGGAGTGCCCCAATCGTGATGCTCATCGTACGTGTCGTGTTGTGCTGTTTTTGACGACGTGACTTTTGGTATGACTACTGACTTTACGGGCTTTGTTGTTTTTGGGCTGTGTCGCAATTCAGGTACATTCAAGGCAGTGAACGTCAAGTGTGCTATATGTGGTGACTCTAGTCACCCGACTCGCGATTGTACTCAGAAGAAGTCCGTTGAAGAGAGCGCTGCAATTGACAAAGAATATCAGCAGTTCATGCAGCAGCTCGGTGAAGCACCTATCATTTCGACGGCTACAAAGGTGAAAACGCCAGAGGTAGCGACGACAACTCCGGCTGTGTCAGCACCATGGCTGCAACCAGCAAAGGTTTCTTCAAGCGCGACCACACAGCCTTGGATGATGAAGCAATCTGTTGGAGCACCGGGTACAGCTAGCGCTCCAGGTGTGCAAGCGCCTCGACCGGCCACTATGGGCTCTACTCCAGCAACAGCGTTCCCACCCCCGGTCGCGCCGGTTGGTGGATACGATTACCAAGCGCAAGGACAGGATTGGGGGCAGCACGGATGGAATGGTGGGTACAATTCGTATTACGGGACCTGGAATCAAAGTACACCGGGCGCCGACTATCAGGCGTACGGTCACTTTGGGCCTCCTGCGGGTGGCGCGGATGCGAATACTGGCACACCTCGAGCTAGTGGAGCAGACCAACACCAATACGCGTCCCACGGCAACCCGCCGCAATAACAAGTTCGTGCCAAGTGGTAAAGTTTAGTGGGTAAGCGAAGGGAGATAAACGGAGCTCGAGGTACGCCACCATTTGAAGACGTGATCAGCCACCGGTCAGCATTACCAGCATTACTAACTTGTCGAATACACAGGATTGACTTTTGCTTGCTGATTACGGGCATGTGTTCATTCTTGTTTGTCCTGTTGTTTCGAAGAATGGCTGTGGTATTCTATCCAGGTGATCACTTGCCGCTGGAACATTGAGGACTCTCAGACGCCAGTAATAGGCATGGAACCGCTGACACATATTGGCCGACAAAGCCGGACAGTATCATCAGCCCACAAAGGAAGGCATCTTGTCGACGGCTGGCACCGTTGACTTGGTCCGTGCCGACAGATGCGCTCCTGCGCTTGTAGCCGCGCGGCTGACAGAAGAAGCGTAAGGGAGTTTACACCATGGACTAGTGCTCCAACAGTCGATCGTAGCCGTAGCAGTGTCAAGATCGCTCGTTTACTCGAGCCCACAAGCAACTCCAGCAGTGCAAGTTCGGTGTCGCAGTACGTGCTTAAATTATTGCGGATGTTATCTAAACGGCTGATGTTCCAAGAAACGTGTCTTGGCGGCTTAGCTGCTTGATGAGTTCCTGCGAACCAAAGTGTTGCGTTAGCGATGCTAGCAGGCTGTCATGGTGGGGGAAACAAGCGTACATGTTGACGGCTTGTGTCGGACACGAAGTAGTCCTCCAGGCGTTGTCGAAGGTCGGATAAAGGTGGTTGTTTCGTGCAACTGCTTACATTCAGCAGCGCATGAAAAATGTATTTCCACATCTCGACATGCCAGTACCGCTTGAATGGCCTGACGATCTCCCATGTCGTCGAGCTCTTCGAGTTGCGCAGCGGCTTGACTTCCATATACTCTCCAAATAACATGCAGTGCACCGTCGCACAGAAGGCAAACGTGTCGATTTGGTGGGTCCATGGACGCTGCGTCAACATCTCAACGCATTGAAACCCTTTCACGTGGCAACTGCCTGAAAAGACAGTTCCCTCCGGGTAAAGACTGAGGTCAATGGATCTCCCGTAGTCGATCAGATGGAGATCACTTGCGTGAAAGACGCTGTCTAAGTCCGTCCCTTCCATCTTCGTACACGATTCCAGTGAAGGACGCCCGGGTATCATCAGCCAATTGTCGGGTTTGATATCACCGTGAAGAACGTTTGCGCAATGGATCAGCTCGATGCATCGTAGCATCCTGATGCTGTAGTGTACAGCTAGTACCTCCGGAAACGTAATCCCCGACTGACAAACAAGCAAGGAGATGTCGTCATGGGTAAGTGTCAACGCGTGCACTCCAGCATGAAGGTAGTGGATTCAGACCTGCTTGTAGCAATTCAGGACATCGTATAGTGTACCAACGTGACCCTTCTCCATCATAAGCAAAGCCCCATTCTGTAGATGTCGGTGAGCGGTTAAGCACGTCAAAGCTAAAAGTGTGGTATGCACGCACCGGAAACAAGTGAAGCGCGTTCAGTGCTGGCACCGGGATCTTTTCCTCCGGAAGCTTCTTCTTGTTCCGCAGTGTCTTCACGATCTTGTTCGTCACGTAGAACTCCCAAGCTAGATTCTGGCGCTCCTTTTCAAACTAAAGCGCAGTCAAACATGTGTTGCAAGTAGAAGTCGCATACGAAAACGGCTACCTTGACTGCTTTGCTGCAAGCAGTGCTGCTTGCCGTGTCAACAACGCTGGCTGAGAAAACATGCGCAAACGAACCCGAACCTAGCACTCCGACAAGCTGAAGCGTGAGTGAGTGGCTGACCCTGATGATAACTGGTTTTCGCAGTTTCCGCTTGGCTGGGTTGTTGCACGGGAATCGCGGCAACTTTTGCGAATGATATTTGACGGCGTCGGGTCTTGAACACAGATATCGGTCAACTCGTTGATCCAGGATCAAAGCATGGCGATTTTCATGCGTGTACGGGTCTAACTTGCGCGCTTTCGAGGTGGCACGTGCAGCAGTGGGCTGCCCAACACTTCTTGACGCCAAGATGTTAGTCGAACGAGTCATGGGTCGTATATTGTAATGGGAAGTGGTGCAAATTAGACGAACAGCAGTGAATTTGATAACGATACCTCGATGGTCCACCTCTTGCTATGCACTCCATAGCAACTTGAACCCGGCTGCTATAATAAACGCTGAGCGGTGAGCACGGTCTCACAATCACAGACTCTTCCGATACAATAAGGCTGCAATGTAGACGAGCAAACAATGACCCATCTACCTTTCGGACAACTTCTTCGCACCAACTGACTTTTCAGCTTGCATCAGAACGTCCTTGTTCGTCAGACGTCCAACGCGCACCAGATCATCCCGGCTGCCGAGAGGCTTTCTCTTCTGGCCCCATGTCTTCCTTTCTGCCCGCATGTCGTCGGAAACACCGTCCGTAAACACCTGGAAGGGCTGCGTTGAGATAGACTCGTTCGTGTCTTGTCGCAGTGATTGATCCTGTGCATCCACTGATATACTGTCGACCGAGTCATCGTAAACACTAAAGTGGAGCTTTCGCTCGACAGGATCATCCTCCTTCACTTCCCATACAGTATCCTTCGGCTGTTTCGGTGGACTGCAGAACATGTTGTTAATGTCCTCCAGCGCGACACGAGTGTTTATGGTCATGTCGTCATGATCTCCGTTGCGCTGTTCTGCCAACCCGCTCGGCATCGGTGCCAGTGGCCGTGTCAGCCCTCGGTCAGCAAGCTTCACATCACGAGGTCTCAGCGGCATTTTTGCAGCTGGCTCTTGCTTCAAAAGCAGAAATCCGTACGAGACTGTCGAGCCAGTTGTCGATGCGGTTGCTGCAGACGAGGGAGCACTTACATTGCACGCGTCACCGGCATTGCTCGACACACTATGCAGTGGCTGCTGACCCGCCTGGTTGTAGAGTCTACCGCAAGCGCGATCGTACAAGCGTGCTCGAACTTCCTCGAAAGAAAAAGCTTCGCCCGTGTCGGACATCGTTTGTTTGACGTCGTAACATGGTAGTTCACACCTGCTCTTTGCTGCTTGCTTCTCTACCCGCGTTTTTTGTTCACTGGCAGTGAAGTTTTTCAACGGTTTCCGCGCAAGCATTTCCTCCTCCGTAGCCACTCCTTCCATACGCTGTCGCAGGGTTTGAGAACGATGTGTTAGAGGTGTTCGTCGTTTCGTTTCGATGTCGGGCACAGAAAACTCAGCGTCCACGAAAACCTGGTGCGAGGTGCCTTGTAGATGGCTTCTCGACATGGACGACCGCGGACGCTCGCGATCACGGCCAGTGCCAGCAGCCGTCAAAGCAGCTGGTGGATTCCACGCGCTCGGTGCCAGTTCGTTTTCCTTGTCTTGCTGCTGCATCGTGCCAAGCTTTTTCCACCCACCGTTACCGCAAAAAGGATCGACAGCGCGTACGACAGGGTCCTCATAGACAGTAAATACCGGTTTGTGCGCATTTACTTTCTGAGCACGTTGCGCCCGGGCAGACGCGTGGTGCTGGTGTAACTGCTCACGCTGGGCATCGTTCAGTTCCGTCATCCCGTATGCAGACAAGCTCTCGAGAGCACGACGGTGCGTTACCTCATTCCCGTCATCAGCCCGCGTCTCTTCGGCCATTCGCAACCATTGGCGACTCATGCGCCGCTGGAATTCCTTGTACTTTCTCTCCAAAAGATCCTGTGGCTCTGCATTCCTACAACAACAGCAACAACAGCAACAACAAGCACACGGGAGCCAGCACCGTTCGTCTCGCATCAAAAACATCGTCCTCCACAGAAAGCCCGTAGACAGCTATCCATCTATACACATGCACAGCGCACGTACCTCTGGATGGCTTTCAAGTAGATCTTGTGTGCTTGGGGGTAATTTGCCATCGTCTCGAGCACGTAGGCCCAGCCAATGTAGAACAGCGACACGCGCTCGCCAATTTTGTTCTGGTACAAGTACCGGAAAATGTCTTTCGGATTCGACACCAGGTCCGCCTATACACAAGAGAGAGACATATAGAGAGACAGAGACGGAGACAGAGAGACAAAGACAGAGAGAGAGAGACAGAGAGACAGAGACACACACACGCGGCCGTCCATCGCCAATCGCCTGTCAGTCGCCAAGCGATTACGCACACAGTCCGATCCGCAGCACTCACGTATTGGATCCAGAGACGGACGTAGCGCATGTCGTTGCGGTACTTGCGGTCGTCTTTCAGCGCCCGCGTGCACTTTTCCAGCACTTTGAACTTCTTCCGCGTGTCCTCCGGCAGCTGAACTTCGAGCCACCGCACGTACTCGAGCCACTGGGCCAGCGGATCGTCGCCCTCGTACGCCGCAAGCGCAGCTTCTATGCTCTGCATCTCTGCTTCGAGGCGCAGCTTCGTCTGCACCGAGTCGTGCGCGTGCAGCGCCTTGTTCAGGTCCGCGACGTTGCGGCCGCGCTTGAGCGGCAACACGTTCTCCTTGGCCGCCTCCCACTCAAAGTCGTCGGCCTTTCGCTTGCGGCGAGCGAGCGCCGCGTCAGCAGACGGCAGTGCGGTCGGCATGGGCAACGCGGAAGTAGCGCGCGCTCGATGTTGTCCGCGCTGCGAGTGGCGTTTGTCGCGCGCCTCACTTGCTTTTTGTATGTGGTACGAGCACATCGAGCGAGTGCGGAAGGGTCGGGGTGCAACGAGACCATCACTCTGCTACAGACACTTGCTGTTTGTATGGTGTGGGTTTCTGCACCTGTTATTTGCGCGCCAGTCAAGTATTCAAAATTGGTACCGATCGAAGCGACGACGGTACGGCAACCGAAACGTTGCATCTGTCAAAGGCAACATGCAATGGTTGCTTTTGGCTTTTCTTGCTCCATCAGGTCGTAAAGAGAAACAGAAACGTTTCCCGTCATTTGAATGCAACGGATGGCAACAAATTGGACGCCGCTGGGCGTTGTCATTGGGGTCAACAGAGCAATCGGGTGAGTTCCACCGCGACTTACGACCGAAGATCCGTCGATCCTGCGGTCATGGACACCACATTCTAGCGGCTTTCCAGCAGCATCAACATAGCAGCCACCTCGCTCTTCTCGTGTTTTCATTAGCTTTGTGTGCAAGAAGCTATGCGTTCTCGACTACAGTAGCTCGATAGGTCAGACGAGTAGTGGCTACACAAGAAGATGGCGATGTTGCAGAAGGCGTTATGCGCTCATAGAAAAAGTTTGCGCTGTTTCCCGACAAAAGAGAGTGACACTATGCGTCCAGTAGCTGCAACACGCGCACGCTGCTGTCCTACTTTGTTATCGATCTGCTGCAGCCGCTATGAACGCCATACATAAACGCTGACGATGTCGTCCTCTGGTCGACATCATGTCATCTCTCGTCCTCACACCACAGCTTTGTAGCTTGCGAATCGTGCGGTACGAGACTAGTGGCAATAGCTTCCAGCAATATCGATCTACACTGACGTGACGCTATCTCGTCCGTCTCTCTTGCAGGCCGTGCATATCGTGTACACGCTGCCTCGCATTCTCTGCACGTAGCTTCCATACATGGGTCGCACAAGCTGTCGTTGCACGAACATCACTCGTCATTCCGGTTGGTCGGCCGTGGAGACTTTGCTAAGCATTCTCCACCGAAGCACCACATTGCTCATTCTGATTCGACTTTGTTTGGCTTTTACAATGTATCTGGTTGCTCGCACGTTCAATCGCACGACGGTGTAGGACAGATATATGCCAATGCCTCTCGTGACCGTCAGGAGACTCAGCATGGGCAAATGTTGCACAGCGATGCGTAGTAGTAGTTCGCTTGTGCCCATGTTGCAAAAGTGCGATGACATCACATGGCGGCATCGTTCTGCTTCGCTTGGCGCTAGTAGCTGTGCTTCGTCTGTCGGCTCTATCGAACGACAACGCACTTTTCCTTCCACCGTCATGCGGTGTACATTTGGACTCTCTATCGTGTGCCATCCAAAGTTGGTACAGATATTGTACGCTTCATAGCACATGAGACCGATTGTATACACTATGGCGAGTCATGCGAGTCGTGATGGACGAACCAGGTCACAGCACGTGGGCGACAACGGAGAAGCACATCAATTCAATGGTAGTTGCAAATTTGTGGAAAATCTCTGGACAGGTCGATTATGTGTACGTCACTTGCCACCAGAGGCGATCCCGAAAGTTCGCTGCTGTCGTGTGCTGCAACTGTTCTCGTGGCGAATGCCCGGCGCGCACGGGCCTTCCATCGTGACCGCTGACTGACTACGACAATGACGTCGCAGTCTGACGCTCAAGTGAAAATGGCAAGAGAGCTGTTGCTCGCGCACCTGCACGAGGGCTGCACAATACGCACATCAGAGTGCGACGCAGCTTTGTGGGAACGACATCCACGAAAGTGCGTGCATTGCGCAGATGAGGGCACTGCTTTTCAGCTCGTGGTCGATTATAGCTAGGAAAACCTGCACGGGCGCGTTGACCAGGCGCCTGAAAAGCCCCACACACGATTCGCTCCCTTGATCCAAACATCATTTCTTTGGGTACTCTGCACGTTGGGCGCGAGCGCAAACTGAACCGCACACTGGTGAGACAGCGGCGGACGAACGAATTGCTGCTGCAGGTCTACGACTCGTGGCAGCTACTTGCTTGCTGCAGTTCAGCTCCATGCGTCGTATAGCTCGTCAAACGTAAGGCCATTACGAATGGCAAAGCGAGAACTTACGGCAAGTTTGGATGCAGGACGTTGAAGATCCGGGCAGGTTGTACACAAGAGACTTTGTCTCGAAAAAATAACGGCTCGACACGAGCACAAACAAAAAAGCGCAGAAACAAATGTACGAACACGAGTTTGCTGCCGAGTGAGGTCGTACGTACACTCGGCGAGCGGTTCAGAGGCGCAGTCGTGCCCGTGGGAGCACAGTGGCACGAACGACATGCGAACCGGATGTGGTAAGATCGTCGATGGTTTTGACCTCGCGTTGCACACGTAACGGCCAATCTTCACACGTCGTTCGTTGCCCATGGCTACAAACAAGTATACTGGACTGAAAACACGAACACTGCCTGACATGCGCGCAGCAAGTAATCGGAAGCACACTGGAGCGCATGCCTACACTATGACTTGAGGGTGGTACGATGGAGTCCTTGACGACTGCGTGGAGGCGTACGTTGCCTCCGGGTTGCACAGGCTGCGATGCTCGAGAAGAGTGGCACGACGTTAGTGCCCGAGATGAAAGTGAGCAAGCGCAAGACGAATGACGCAACGCACGGATGCTACTATGTCAAGAGCGAGCCACATGCCAGGGCGCTGCAACGGTACGACCACTGGCAGTTCGACATAACATTGAGACATTGTGTTTTGCGTGTGTGCGTGTGTCGTCCTCGCGACAGGTTAACGTGGCAACGTGGCGCTGTAACAGTCGCCCTAGCGTTATGCTGAGAGCGCGTGCGAGCGACTGTCACCGCCTGCCTGAACTCTTCCAGACTCAATCGCCCAAGTTCTTAACATGTACAGTTATTGTCGTCGCTATCGTCAATGGCAACTGCGACAGCCCGTTCGTAATCAATATGTTGACATTCGGCACGCAGGACGTCTGTCTGTCTGACCGGTCGGTCGGTCGGTCGGTCGGTCGGTCAACCGTTGCACTCGAAAAAGCGCCAAGTGGACTGCCCCCGAGTGAGACACGCAACGTCGCCGGATAACCACCGAATCAGGCATGACTCAGCAAAGGCAGAAGCACGTGATACTCTCCGTCGTATCCGGTAAACTACCTCTGCATAGTACTCGTCCCATTCGATCCCATCCTCTCTTTGTCTCAGTACTTCTCTGCTGTACCCATCGCGCAGCCACTCATTTCCATCGCCCACCCCAAACTTCTCGTGCCCTCCCACTCGAATCATGACGCTCAAGCTCCAGGGAACGTTCACGGCGCTCGTAACGCCTTTCACGGATGACGGCAGCGCTGTGGACTACGACAAGCTGCGCGAGCTCGTCGAGTGGCAGATCCAGGAGGGCATCAATGGTCTCGTGCCCGTACGTGCAGTTGCTCAATCGCTTCTGTAGCTGCGATTTCGCGTGATGTTCCATCCACACTAACAATAATGAACTGTCGTGACTGGAACAGATGGGCACGACGGGCGAGTGCCCCACGGTCTCACACGAGGAGCACGACCGCGTGATTGCGACGGTCGTGGCCGCGGTCAACGGACGCGTGCCGGTGATTGCTGGCACGGGGTCCAACAGCACTACCGAAGCGCTGCGCCTCACGCGTGCAGCGAAAGAGCACGGCGCTGATGCCTGTCTCGTCGTGTGCCCGTACTATAACAAGCCGACGCAGAAGGGCTTGTACGCCCACTTCAAGGCCGTGGCCGACGTGGGTCTCCCCGTCGTGGTGTACAACATCCCGGGCCGGACGAACGTCAACCTGTCGCCCGAGACGATTGCGGAGCTCTTCAAGCTGCCCAATATTGTAGCAATCAAAGAGTCGACGGGCTCGCTGGACCAGGCAATGGAGATCGCTGCCCTTTGTGACATTACCATCCTGTCCGGCGACGACAACCTGACGCTGCCACTTATGGCCATGGGCGCTACGGGTGTCATCAGTGTGCTGTCGAACGCATGTGAGTGGAAGTGCTGACGAGCTAAGCGGAAGAGATGGTGACAGCTGACGCTGTGTCGTTGATGAATGTGAGCAGCTCCCAAGAAGGTGCTGGCCGTCACGGACTCGATGCTCAAGGGGGACTACGCCGCTGCGCGCAAGGCTGCTTTGGAAAATGTATGTTGATGCAGCAATGTATGCCTCTCATCCAGCTGAGGTGGCTGCGTGGTGGTGCTAACGTGTTTCTGCTCGCATTGCTGTCTACGAACAGGTCTTCCTCGTCAAATCAATCTTCAGGGAAGCCAACCCGCAGCCCATCAAGAAAATGCTGCAGCTCATGGGCAAGTGCTCGGCTGCAGTGCGTGCGCCTTTGGTCGAGTGCGAACCATCGACTGTCGAGGCCCTCACGAAGATGGCCAAGACGCACGGGCTTATCTAAGGCAGGTGCAAAGCAGTGCTGCCGCTCTAGCGAACCCAAGAGTGTGGTAACTAGCTTCTTGTATTCAACTGTGCGCAAATACTACTCGTACATGTAGAACGCTGCTGTTCGTGTGTGTATCATCCCCCCCATCATTCGGTTGCGTTGACGTGTCTTCACATGCGAAAGAGAGCTGGGCTACCATCGACCCATGCTGCATTGCGGTGGAGTACAAGGCGAGGGGGACTGGAAATGCACGAACAAAACCGCAGCATTCACTCACGCGGGGACCGTCATAACTAACTCCTGTCTCCTTCCCTTGCAGGCCATACACACCTAGTACTTGCTAAAGCTGTTGGAGCTGTCCAAGTTGGAATCCACGCTACAGCCGCTGATGCGGGAGCTTCCTCGACTGTACGAAGACATGCCCGAGCTGTACGAGTCTGTGCTGGAACACGATGCTCGGAAGCCGTACGAGTCCACGGACACCTCGCTCTGTAGTCGCGATTCGCCCATTGCTTCCAAGAAGCCCGTGGCGCGAGAATCCTCACTTACGCGCGAGTCTTCCGTTTCGCGGTGACCCGTCGTCGAGCGTGACTCGTCATTGAAGTGCGCCCCTACCATCGAGTCGTGCTCCCTTGAATCTGTGGCGCGTGACGCGATGTCCATCATCGAGGACTCGCTCGCCATGCTCGAGCCACCGTAGCTACCGACTCCGTAGGCCTTCGATTCAGCCTGTTCCATCGAGTGCAAGTGCGAGTCCATCTGAGACGACCTCGAGTCGTTCCAGTCACCCCCAGTCTGGAAATACTTTTTCTGACTCGCTGTCACCAATGAGTCACCAAAGTGGGACATGGACGCGTCGCTCCGGGCGTTGCTGACGTACGAAGCCATCCCTGACGTATTGCTCAAGCGGTACGCATCGATTTCAGCCTCGTTCGGGTGCCCGGCGGATCCTGCACCGCCATAGGCAATGTTTTCCGAGTAGTTGTCCGTGCCAAAGCTGTTCTTGGGAAGCGACTGCACGGAGCCGTCCGTGTTCGAGCTGGACGTCAACCCACTGTGGACGATCGCCATGTCGTCGGTCATCATGTTGTCATTCGCATTGCTGTCCGTGTTGCGGGCCGAGACGTTGGCCACGTACGTGAGGTCGATCTTGCTACTAGCTTTGCCGTCCGAGACGCTGTTGTTCGATTCGCTCACCACACAGGGCGAGTCCAAGTCGAACGCCTTGTTCGCATTCGCGCGCTGGCGCTTGCGGCGGCGTATCATAAACACGAGCAGCGCGAGCGCTGCAAGACAGCAGGCCACAACGACGGCAATGATCGTCACGCCGCCTTTGCCGACGCCGCCGTTGCCCCGCGAGGTCGACACGGTCTCGGTCAACTCTGGCGGCGACTTTCCTTCTCCAGTTGGGTCCGTTCGACTGGTGGCGGCGTCTTCGATCGAACGACCAGCACCGGCCAACTCGGTCGCTGTCTTCGGCTCTTTGTCTCCGTCGACGTCCACCTGCAGTCCCTGTTTCAGCGCTGCGTCACGAGTGGTCGTCGTCGTCGTTGCGTTCGACGAACCTAAAGCAGACGAAGGGGCCGAAGTTAGCGCCGGCGAAGGAGTAGTACTGGCAACAGGTTCAGGCGGGCCAAGCGACCGCGCAGCCAAAGCCGCGTCGTCGCTGCCCGACGCAAGAGGCGCTACGCTACCTGAGGTATTGGACGTCGTCGAGGCTGGCACGACGCTGATCTTCTTGAACACGACGTACTCTGTCGCGGCCACCCCGAGCGAGCTGTCCCCCGGCAGGGCCACGAGGCCCACAATAATGTAGTCACTGGCCGTCGCCAGCGTGAACGTGTTGGTCGCCAGGGCCTTGGCGCCGTCCGGGGCGAACGGTCCCGCACTTGTGCCGTCGGCAGCTCCGGTCGGCGTCCCGCCCACGTGCGTAGCGCAATTGGTTCCTGCCGTACAGGCAAAGAGCGCCGACGACGTGACGGCCGGCGGCACTTTGGTCACGGCGTCAATGGCGTTGGGGAAGAGGCTGTTGCCCAAGTCGGCGTGCGCTTTGGCCGCCCACTTGACCGTAATGGGTTCGTGCACGTAGAAGTCCGCGCTCGGAAACGTGAGCGTCACGCCCACGGGACAGCGCCCGGCGCTCGAGACCTCGAGCGTGTCGAACGTCAGCGCGCCCAGCGGCCCATTGACGCCCATGCAGTACGTCGTCGCGCCGTCGTGCACGAAGCCATTGTCAATGTCGGCCGCCTGCGACGCGCCAAAGAGCGCAGCGGCAGTAGCAGCGGCAACAATCGACACGGCCTTCATCGCAATATATGTGTATGTGTGTGTGCGGGTATCTGTGTGGGTATCTGTGTGTGTGGAAGACCTGTGCTGGTGTATGGCACGCGGTGGCAACTGCTATGTAATTCTCGTCAACGACGACGACGACGACGAAGAAGGAGAAGGAATCGCCGGTAGAGGCGGTCGGGTGACTCGCGGAACGCCTTTGTGTCGCGTCGGTAGTGCTGCGGTTGCTGTGTCGCGTCGTCGCGTCAAGACACACAGTTCGGTAGAAAGGGTCGATCTCGAAATGCCCACCTGGTCGGCACAGCGCACGTGCAGACGGGACCTGCGGCCTGAAACGACACGGGCCCCGTCTCTACCCCGTGGAACGGGACCAGCTGGTTCGGCCGCACGCTGCTGTCCCCCCCCACACACACTCACTCACTGCCCCGCGCGCGCGTTGAAACCTACACACACTCTCGACTCCATCCGTTGGTCGCTGCGTCTTCGCCACGTTGTGTGGGGTTTCGCCAGCACAGTAATAGGTGTCCGGTGACTGGCGGGTGGCGGGAGAGGCGCGACGGTGCCAGATGGATAGCTCGAGCGATTTCTGCGGTCGGCTGGCTGGAAAATTTGGTCGAACGAGGGACTGTCGAGTCGACTTGACAATAATCATCACATGGACCGGTGCGGCAGTCAGTTGTTGCTGTCGTTTGTTTGTTTTTGTGTTGCAATAGTACGGCAAAAGCACACAGACGAATGGACTAATCGGTCACCTTATTCACTCGCTCATGGTCCGATCGAGTCGTTGCGGGAGAAAGAGGTGCGCGGCGTCCGTGACGCCACATGCGTATCGTCAAGTGCCGGCGTGGGCTGGTCGAGGATCGCGCCAACTGTCGATGATGATGCCGATAGCATTGAACTGGAACGGCACCAAATCTGCAGAGAACATCGATGACAGCCCATCTGCCCCTCACATTCTTTCCAGAGCACAAACGTTTGCTCGATAATGGACGTGCGTGCGGCCACAAGAGCACATCGGAGAGCTCCTAGCTGCTGGACTTCATTCGATGCTGCGGGGTTTGCCACGGTCGAACGCTACGCCCGGAAACTATTGTGACTTCAGGTCCGCTTACGTGAGCACATCTGCTTGTTATGCAGTTCTTGCGTTTGCTGCATCGTTGATACTGTAGACAGAGAGCACTTACGCCCTTTCATGCTCAGCCAAAAGAGTCAGAGTGACTATCGATTATATGCGTAGTAAATTGGCATTCACTCCGCTCATTATGATCGTACAACAACTACGACGCGACACGCGGTCACGCATCGATCGAGCTTAGAGACGGTCCACAGCCTCTCATTGCTCCTTGTCCATCGGCGAAATCGTGGACAGAAGATACGTCTACGTCGGACCAGCAAAAGCTCGTGCTCGTGCGTTGTTGATCACAAGTGAGCGACACTTAAGGGGTGAGATGTTGCAGTCGAGTGCCGATACTGCGTCGACTGTGCTCCTGTGCGAGGGCAAGATCGGCACGGTGCAAGGGCTTCCTGTATTTTCGATACTGCAACCACCGCGCTCGCCTCCTTCGAATAGTGGCACAGCGGTGTTACACACTCAGCGCGCGAATATCGCAACGAAATCGTCGGTCGAAACTTCAGATTGTACCACCACAGTTTGTCCGCACGACCCGTCGTGCAACTTTCGACGCGCTGGGGGATAATATCCGCAGTTTCCGTGCCACGCACCACACGCATTACGCAACGAACGCCTACGGGCGTTCAGTGCATAAAAAGGCATCGTCCACTCGCTCTCTTGTTGCACAAACTGGTCAGTTGCCCCGTCATGTCGCTGTCCTCACTTTGTCCGCGTCCGCCGTCTCGTCCACGCAAACGTTGGAACGCTTCTGCTCGGCCCATAGTCAGGTGTCGCGTTACAAGTCGTTAAGAATCGATCGCTCCAAATCACAACAAAGTGCACCACAGTAACATGCAGCGCATCGGAGCAAAATGGGCTTTGGGCAACAGAAGTGACGCCCTCAGCCCTTCCAATGTCCAATGACCACTTCGTTCTCCAGAGCTCTCGTGCCCCTGCCGCCAGCGAAGTCGATTCGACGGCAGCCGTAGCAGCTTTTTCTCTGACCGTCCGTCCCGATGCTATCAGCATTAGCACACTGAGCTCGCGACTGGCTCGCGCAAAACACACAACCACACCTGTCTGGAGCCCCCCGTCGCCTTCTGTCCCGTCGTTACGCCATGGTCGGCACGCATGGACAGTGCGTGGAAGACACTGATGAAGCAGACCGTTTCCTGGGCGACAGCCTCGTTGTCACATGGCAACGACGTCATCGATTGCAGTCGCTCGACGACGGGCTCCGCTGCTGTGTGAGGTATTGTCGTCTGGTCGCAGTCGCCATCTTCACACGCACATAAGTCTGGCGCTTCGCCCACCTCCTGTCCCAGTCGAGCGCACGCCCATATAACTGCACTTTCGGCTGCTGCTCAGGTTGACAAGCGGCGCTGACGACCCCTTGGCGAGAGGCCATGCGGCTCGAGGAGAATCACAATAGTCAGCCGGTCGTCTCGTCTGGGAACGCTGTTGACATGTGCCAGCCGCCTCTTTGCGAGCACGACCGCCCGCCCGTCCAGGTGAGACCCAAGACGCCTCGTGCGGTCGTTCGTTGCCACTGAATGGATGGCATCGCGGCCAGATCATCGAAGACTATCCACCGCGTCTCGTTCGTGCCTGGGAGGGGGGAGGTAGTCAATCGGCTGAGCTGGTCGTGCTGACCACGTTGCGCCTCCAGCGCGGATGACCATCTGGGCCCACATGGAAGACGGGGGTCTGCAACACGGACAGACTTCTCTTTGCAGAGGTGCGAGTCCCATCAGGTGTTGCTGCGAACGGAGCGGCGCTCCCACGCGCTTGCTGACTCTCTCTCTCTCGTGTCAGACAGCCTCTCTTCTACTGCGCTGGCAACTGTCGTGGCGGTTGGTATCCCCTCTCTCAGGCTGTTGCCCCATGAACTCAAGAAGGAGATGTTCGTGCAGTCGTCTCGCCATCACGTCCTCACCTCTGTCCAAGCTGACCTTCAGCCTCCGTTGGTAACGCGTGCGCGCTTTCCCTCTGGCCGCTACTCTTTTGTCAAGTCGCGGCGTCGTCACACGAGCCTCGTGGTACTGAAGGAGTTGTGTCGCTTTGCTGCTCTTTGCTGGCGCCTTGTGTGTATCACAGTCCTTGACGATGCCCTCAGTACGCCTCATGTCCGCGTAACTAACTGGCCCCCATTGCTGTCGCCTCCTCGTCTCCTTGAGGTCGTTCGTAGCGCAACTGCTGCCGCTTCTATACCCGTGACCTTCTTGACTCCGCAGCGATGTTGTCACGCCTTCATAACACGCACACGCCATGAACGCGCTTGCAGTCGCAATCTGCACCGCAGTATTGTGCCAATCGCTGAAAGGAACTGATTGAGGTCAACCACTGCTTTGTGCGCTGGAACGGGGGGTGTTCGGCATGTCACAACGAGCAACTTGCAGCAAATGCTGTAACAAAGCGTCCAGTTTATCGCTAGTCGTCTTGGAATCACTTGACGTCGCTCGACACACACAGTCCCTTTGTCGTGTTCATATCGCAAGTATTGCAAGTATCGCTACGTCGAGCGCTGTGTGACAAGTTCCACACCTGAACTAGTTCGGCATGGGATACAGTCGCAGCGATCGCCGTACTTGCAGTCCCTTTGTTTGTGACGCTTTGTCTACTTCAAAAGACCAACACAAGACACTTTGGTGGAAAGCGCCGCACTTGTTATCGAGTGGCTGCTACAGATGCCACTTGCATTGTTGCGCAGAATGGTAGCTTGAGGATGCGAGTATTTCTCTGGTTAAGTCAACCGCAGCTAGCGCATGATGATTCAAACGTTTTAACTCTGCGAGAAGGATCCGAGTACAGCAACCTCGTTCGACACACGAGTCAGCAGATGACTCCGCTTCATAATGGACTCGAGTATTCACAACATGCTGTTGTGCTACGCGTCGAAGGGTCGGCCGACAACTTCGCGTCTCCATGCTTCCATTCCGCAATGCCGTGTATCTAGTCAGGTTGCAGCTAACCGGGCAGTAGCAAAGAGAGCGACAAAGACGCGATCAAAAGTGTAGCTAGACGGGCGCAATTGTATTCCACCAGCTTTGCTAATGCATCTCTGTCGCCCTGATGTGTTATGCTGTACTCTGCCCAACTTTCGATGCTTATACGATGTGTGTCACGAAAGAAGCGAGCAAGGTCCCGACATCGCGTGTTTGGTGCCATTCGTGTCGGACTGAAGCGCCAGCTGAGTGTCACGTTTAAAGGTAACACGTCACGTTCGCATGTCAAAGGGGGTCGGGAGTCGTCCGATGGGCATCTGCATTCTTGTGGCGCAGAAGCACAACGGGTTCGCCATGTGAATGAGTCGCCATGAAAGGAAACAATCGTCAGGGAACGTCAGCAGCCTGACCGAACTGCCTGAGGGTCTAGGAAAACGTCCACAATTGTATCCAAAGCCATGACGCGCCATGACGCGAGCCTTGGTAGACCGATCCATCGCGATGCCGGATCGGCTTTTCTTCGGGCGCCGAACAATCTTGAACCTGTTTTTGGGACGTCTTCGCTACGTTTCTTGTAGAAAGGGGAGTCCACCTATGTCAGAATGCTGTACAACATATCAAGCAATACAACTACCATTGCAAGATGGGTGGACGGTCACGCAGTGCTGCGTCGATCCATTTTCTCGTCACGTCACTTCATGAGTACTAACTTCTGCAGTTATTCGATACATCGCAAAAGTTGGTGAACAAATGTGTTCGTACCACAAGCAATCATGGCAAGATCAACTCGTGCAGCACGCAATACTGCAGCACTAACGTGAACGAACCTGAGTCAAGACACGATAGCGTACGATCGGTAGTCTCGTCAACTTGGCTCAGGCTAGCGAGCTTCGTAGGGTCGCATGGACTTCATGGCGTGAGATATGACTTGGCTTCAGAAGAATGCCAACAACAACAAATGG